TAGAGATTAAAACCTGTAGACTCTTAATTGCTGTTATATAAATCCTCGGTATTATATGTTTTTTTCTGAATAATAACCGTTCTTGAAGGAAAACTAAAGGTAAAAAACGTTTCTCATATAAGAAAGAAATGTTTAAACTATTCACGAGACTTTAAAAGTCCATGACTATTTGCTTAAAGTAAGGAAAATTCCACACATTTCTCTCAGCAAATGGTGGAAGCTTTTGACTTTTGTAACACAGTTTTTGTTATTTTGCTAAATTTTAATTAGTATAAATTCTTGCATGTGATCAAGAGATGCTCAAGAGCTGAATTGTAGAGGATAACTGCTCCTACTAGCTTGAAATTATTGTTCCCTTAGAGGGTGCATAGTTCAAGAGAGTGAAGGCACCAATATATCAGGTCAAAGCCTGGTTAGAGGACAGTCACTTAATGTTGACTTTATTCACAAATTGTTATGAGAATTAGCCAACAGAGAGAAAAAAACGAGAAGCAATAAAAACACATGTAAACCAAATGGCGCAAAAATAGACCTACTGTACTGCAAAATATATACATAATCTTTATATCATGTATATATTTTGCAGTATACTGATTGACCCATTTTGCCCCCTTTTGGTTTGCCCAAATCATTATCCCATATTTTGTACGGATGATATTCGGATAAGCCGAAACACCACAAGGATGACTAATGGACTACCAAAACTAAATTTTATTTTCAGATTAAGTGATTCAACCAAACCTAATTTTTCCACTGTGCACAAGTCTATTGGTCAAATTATGGGTGCTTATGAAATCAGAGGTACTGACATTATTGTTCTAACCAGAAAAAACATCGCAATTCTTGGTGAGGAGCATTGAGTTCTTGGTGACTAGACAACCCATGATTTCTCTGCTATTATTTCACTGATGTATCCATAAAAATAAGTAGGTTTTACTTAATATATTAGGAACAAATATGTATTTATCTTATTTTCGCTTTACATCTTTTCTGCGTATTACTAAACTCTTTCTGTCTCTTAACTACTCTGCAAAAAAAGTATTATCTTCTTATATTTTAGCCTGATGCCTCTCAGGCCTCATCCTGCACTGACCTAGGTGAGCCAAGTGGTGATACTATATGCCCACAGGTCGGTAGCTAGATAGCACATTTTGGGGTAGGTATCTGTCTCTTTTCTCTTATTCTTACTGAGTCTTTGTTTCTTTGTTGTCTGTTTGTTGAACTTATCACAGTTTGTCTGCTTGTCCCTAGTGTTTGCGCATTTACTTGTTTTCCCACTATAAACAATTCTGTATTTCGTGTGTGGTTCCCATTGTTGCATGATTTTCCAGTTTGTGTGCTTATACTTAATTTGCTCCATTTGAGTATTGCTCCATCTAAGTAGACCATTGACCTTTGTGATCTACTGGAAAAACTTGGGCATTTCATCCAGAATATGATCTATGCTGTAAAATGTAAATAAAATAATGAAGTAATTAAGTCAACAAATAGAGATGACATATAGTATTTATATATAACACAACCACAAAAGTGCATATTTACTTTGATAATACATATTACCTGTGTAGGTGTTGTTAGGTAATTTTTCAAGTATATCTAACAATGCTGAGTTTTGTAAATATTTGAATCCTGTATGGAAATACTTTAGTCTTGGGTTTTTATAGAATATTACAATTGAATAGATCTAATTCTACATTTAAGGTATTCTCTATTAATCATACATTCTCGCCAGTAAAGTATATATGTTTGAGATAATAGCATTGTCACTTCTGCAAGTATAATATTTTCATTAGTGTTCTTTTTCTATTTAAAATAATATAATCTAAGTTTCATGTCACCTGCTACAATTGACTTCTGAAGAAGCACGAACAAGGCATTTAGTGCAAATCAAGTTATATTTCCCAGGGTTCCTTGCTTCTATCGAGCAGGCTCTTGAAATTAATCTCTGTTGATGTCAAATTGGGACCATCTTAACATATCTTGAACTAAAGTAACTGTGGGGAAGGGTGATGTTGTTTTCAGGTATACTTGTATTGAATATCAATAGTGTTGTTGTTTACTGGGGGTCCAAACTGGTAATTTGCCAAGGGCCCTATGGGATCCTAATCCTTTTCTGCATCTGTAACAGCAAACAGGTTTTTTTTTTTTTCTAAATGACAGTTTTGAAAGCCCAATTATAACATTTACATAGAATTTTTTTTTTTTTTTAAATAAAAGCTTCTCACAAAGTAAGTAACTAGTAGGAATGGATCCAGAACCTTAATGTTAGAGGTGCACAGCTATTTTGGGGGAGATTATAAAATTTGGACAAATGTAAACAAACACAGACACACTTACTTACAAACATGCATATAATGACAAATGTCAACACCTACCTATCATATATTCACCCGCTGACAGACATATTTAAAAATGCAGAGATAGATACACAGATTCTTACATACAACATGACTTCATTCAACTTTTGTCCAAAGGAATACAATTGACACAATGATCCCTGCTTTGTCTTGTGTTTATTTTTATTGAATTGGAATGTCAGTGAAACTCCAACATGGCATATAGTCATTTTTCATAAAAATTCTCCATGTGTATTAAAATTAAAAGTCACACTTCTACTTCAAGAAGATTCATGAGAAATACAGATGTTTAGGAAATATTTCAAATATTTAGACTACAACAGCTGTGAATTTAATTGATTTATGATGTCTGACTGTGTTTTTAGTAATGCTTTGTAAACTTTGCAATCTCTTAGTCATGAGAACAGATTTTCAGATTTTCTAATCCTTTGTGACCAAAAACCAGGAACAGCTGTAAATTATAATTTTTTTTTAAATGTTCAATCTCAGATACTATTTTGAGTGATGTGATTCTTTTTCAATCTATGCGGTATTTAGCAGTAATATACTTTGAAATGTTACCACTTGAAAGCAGATATAAATAAAAATCTATTTTTCTATAAAATGCTTGGGACTACCTTAGGCAAACAGATAAAATGTTTAATAGTATCTCATGCAGTGAAATGCGGGTTTTATATATTCAACATCGTTTAATTCATGCAGAAACTTTGAAATGTACCTACACAAAATATCTTCTAATAGGTGTAAAAACAACACATGAACATATAGAAGTTGGTACACATTTTGTAGACTTTTTAGTCCCATCTCTATCAAAGTTGGATTAAGTTAAACAGCAACCCTGAATTACTTTTCATTGCTCCAACACAGATCCTCACTTTGCCAAAGGTCAATGTCTCCATAGGTGCTCCAGTCAACCATGTGCAATGTGAAAGAGACTGCAATGCTCAAGGCTGCATTAATAGCATATTGCAGGGAGTAACGAGGACTTGCCGCATCCATATATGTAGTTCATTAATCAGGCCACTTGCAGCAAAGTGTGACTTTGTCTCACAAGTTAAATTCGATTTTTCCCTTAAATTAAAAGAGAAATATGAAAATAAATGTCAACAAAACAGTGAATTGTAGAAATTTACAGAGGAGTGTCAAAATTTAGTTAACAGAAAAGGTTAACCATGGCACTGTAGATGTGGCAAAACACATAGTAGACCAACGGACACAGATACAGGATTGCAGCAAAAAATTAAACTGTATACAGAACGATGCTGAAAGGTTTTGGTCAGGGGTAGTCAATCTGGTTCCTATCGCCCACTAGTGGGCGGTTTGGGATTTCAGGTTGGCGGTAGGGGGTTCTGCAGAAAAAATGGTGGGCTTCTATGGCTGTGGCTGTGGACCAAGGATGGCAGGGGAGATCCTTTCATCTCCCCTGCCGGGCCATGCAGAGCCATCCTTGCTGTGAGCCCTCTCAAGCTGGTGATGAGATCAAAGCTCTCCCTCACCGGCCCACTGGCACTTAGTTCCAGCAGTGGGAGGGAAGGGCCTGGGAGGCTCTGTGTTTTCGTGTAAGCAGTCTGGTCTGAGCATTGCCGCATGTTACCATGGCAACGCTCCGTTACAGTCCTGTGCTCGCAGGAGGACAAGAGAGTCAGCCTTCAGCTGGAGGAGCTGCAGGCTAGAGTGAACATGCCACCACTGGACCACCACGGTTCCCTGGTTAAAGGTAAGAAGAAGGGAGAAGGATAGTTAAGATAGTTTTTCACATCTCACCCACCTACACACAGCATGACCCTATGCACCATACACAAACACACACTACACCCCTCACATACACGCACTGCCTCCTCACATACATTACCACCCCCACATACACAGACTGCCCTCACACACACTACACCTCTCACACACACAGACTGCCCCCTCACACACCCACACAGACTTCCTCTCACACACACACACATATACACACACACTGCCCCCTCACACGCACCACCCCCTGACACAAACTGCACCCCTCACACACTACCCCACACTGCCCCCTCACACACACACTGCCCCTCTTACACACACACTGCCCCCTCACACACACACACACACACTGCCACCTCACACACACAGCCCCTCTCACACACACAGCACCACTCACACACACAGCACCCTTCAAACACACTGCCCCCTGATAAAAACTGAACCTCTCACACACAAACACTAAACCCTTTACATGCAAACACACACACACACACAGATACAGCACTATTCACACACACACAGCACCTGACAGACACACATAAAAAATAAAGGAAAAAAATAGAAAAATGTAAGTACATATTTAAAAAAAAAGCTAAAAAACCCTTCTTTCTAAAAAAAAAATTATAAAAACAAATAAATAAAATTGCACTTGCGCTATAATATTAGTTATGTGGCACTAGTGGGCGGTAAGGAAATGTTACCATCAACAAAGATACAAAAGTGGGAGGTATTAAAAGGCTGACCACCGCTGGTTTAGGTGGTGGAAGAAGATATAAGAGGTTGCTGAAAGGCTAAGAGTGGGGACAGATATATAATAAGGATAACACATCTGGGAGATTGATTGATATAAAATGTTATATACTGGTAAATATTGATATTTTTCATGGGGAAAGACAAATAATTTTATTTGAGCAATAGTTTATAAACAAATATATATTTTTTAAAGCTTTAGAATATTTTGTCGCACTATGATGTTGTTTAGCTTTCAAAAACAACCAGCTCTTTTAATTGCAGCTTTGATCCAAAATAACAAAGCTAAAAAATACCAGCTTGAAGTTTCGCAAATTGATGCCACAAAACACTTTTGATGAATAAAAATTTTAGAGTTTGGACCATATCAAAGAGACTATTTGTTGAAAGTATCCGCACTGATGTGTTTATATTTGGATAACACATAAAACTTTGCTGCATACACAAGGCATTATAAACAATTGAGTTCCCTTATTTTAGTAATCTCATAAAATGCAGACAGTGCTATGATCATTTCAAGGGACACTAAAGTAAAATCAGGTACAACCCAAGAGAATAGGAGACTGCCTAGCCCTAGACTAGGACTCTGAAAGTAGAAGAACCATTGGCAAGCCTGTTTAAGATGATATCTCTGATTTACAGAGCGTTTTCTAACATATACACAAACACATATGCACAGGTGCCTCAATGGCTCTTAAAGTGACTCTGTCATTTGTGAGCATTTTATAAAGATAAAATCGTTATGAAATATTTGTGCAGACAGTTTTGGAGATTTAGTTTACTAACAGATCAAAATGCATTATTTGTAGAAGTTCGGTAACGCTGAAATTCCAACATAATCAAAAGACAAGTATGGACTACTTCACTTAGGTGCCAATCCAAGGTTGACTAAAGTTGACAAAAGTCTTCCACTTTTGTCAATTCCCAGCATTCATCACTAGAGGTGGCACTTGGAAAAGGCATTTTACCATGCATCATTTTAGTATTCTATGGAGAATCCTGCAGTTTTGCAGGATCATACATTGTGTTGTTTGTACAGGCAAGAGCACAGTGACAAGAGCTCCTTGCAACTAAAACACCACGGCATGTTGATAAAAGCACTTCTTGAGCACTCTATCAAACCGCCATGTTTGGAATATTGCAAAGTACAGTTATAGTTAGGATTGTCTACTACTCAATTTTGTGAATTAAAAATAAACAAATTGATGCTTTAATGATGTGACATTAAAAAATATTTTGTGTTCCGTTTTGTCCTCAGATCCGTTCAGGTGAACCAATATATGCTCAGATCAAAAGACCTAAGAAATAGCACTATAGATTTTCTAGTGCATCAAGACTGGACCGAACATCTGGCTGGCTAATGGCACTTGCAACATTCTTTCAACTGTCCATGACAATGGGTTTTACCAGTGTACTGAGTGAAAGAGATTTAAGGATGAATCGGTGCAAACAGGTTCTCTAACAAAGAAAAACCAGACAGCTTCACTGAGGAAGTTGATTTTTTTTATTTATTCAGAAACGTTGTTTTCATCACTATACTTCTTGAAAGAAGTCAATCAAGTTTAATCACTACTTTTTTTTCTTTTTAGCAAAAAAAAAAAATGTTAAAAAATACTAAAACTTTATGTAGGATATCATCTAGGTGTAATATGGGACCTTAATGTGGGACTGTTCACCTTCAACACCTCCTGCAGTTCTTCTCCCCAAAAGATAGGGGAACACTGAAAGCCAATTCTTTTTATTTTGTATCTTTTCACATTCACATTTTTTCTGAAAAAAAAAAATCAAACTTTGACAAGGCTGGGTAGAATAGAAAATAAAATGATATAATTTTTATATTGCTGCCTCTTCGGCCTTGAAGGAACTGACAGAGAAATTTATGAACTTTTGCGATCTACATGGATGTAGACCAGAATATCTACAGAGCAAATGAAACAACGAAGTTACCAGATGGTTGGTACGAAAGGTTTTTCCAGACAGTAAAAAATTTGGAGGTATTTTTCCTCCTGTTGTATCACGCTGCTGTAAAACTATGCAGACAAGCATTTCAATCTACTTGTGCCATTTTTGAAGACAAACTTTTTGCCTAATAAATTCTGGAACAATTCTGAATCTTGGATTTGGAGAAAAAAAGCGAGACGATGTCCTGGGACTGTAGAGGCATGAATTTTTTTTTTTTCTTACAACATACAGAATCTGTGATTAAAATTACTTATCTCTGTCTCTTTTGTATATTAACGGGGGGGGAAAAAAAGAAAAAGAAAAGAAATTTGGATTTTTATTTTATAATCGTAACATTAAACTCTTCAAATGGAAAAGGCTTTAAGTAATTAACATAAAATGACAGATTTTGTAAATAGAACTATTATGACAAATGTTTTCATATTGCCATTACACTGTAGAAAAAGATAGAAACTTTCCGTGGTTGAATGGTGTCATATTAAGGTTGCATACATCACGGTTTTCAAGTGCAGAGTAATTAGCTTGTCAGAAACTAATAAAATGAATGGGGATCATTGTATAATGATTGTATTTGTTTGTGAGACATAACACAGTATGCATTAGCTTACACAAACCATTATTACTTTGCTTTTGTGAGTTTAAGTACTTCCTCTTAGCAGGAGAGCTAACACCACACCCTCTAACCCCCACCCCCCCACCTCCACCCCATCTTCTATTAATAATTTTATTGATTTATACCCTACAGTAGTGTCATAAACCAAGCATACTGTACAACCAGTCTGCCAGATGTTAACTGATTGCAACGTTCATGTTCGACAGCAAGCCTGGGTTTAGGAGCTTTGCCCTTTGGAAATCTGGTGTAGCTTTTAAGATCATATGTTTCAGGGTTTAAGAATGCTAAGAAATGCAAAACCTATGTTAAAAGAGTTGGCTATCAAATTCTACTATTAGACTCCCGAGTAATAATATATAATTTTGTCTGAAAACTGTATGGGACTGGGATTACTATTGGCTGCCCGCCCATCCAAATGTTCTACACTGATGGCAGCAGGACAAACCAAAGCAAGTAAGTAGCACTTGAGATTTAGTTTACTATAATATCAAAGTACATTATTTGTCTAAGTTTGGTAATACTGGCAAATCTAGGGTGGGCCAAACTTCAGAGGAGGATTTGACAGGTAAATAACTTGTTTGTTAGTGTAACAGAACTCGGTACTCAGCCTGATTATCCCCGTTATATCCTTCCTTTTCCAGCGGGACACCTTCAGTAATTATAACAGGTCATTGTAACTCACACACCAACATCAGCCTCGAAGAATGGTGAAAACAAAAGACACTTTATCTGGTTCAACTAAACACATTAATACACAGACCCCCAGCATGGCGTCTCTGTGTCTATGGAAAAAAGTGGTAGTCCTCAAACCCTACTCTAAATTTTTGCCCACTCTGTGCAATTGCTATTATCCTAAAACAGTCATCATATCATTATAATTTTAATAAAAGGTGTAGTCCAAAGTAAAGACTGGTGGAAATGTATGAGGCTTTGCTGTGTATGTCCACTTTTTACCCCCCAAAATGTGTCAAAAAACTTGAGTTGATGGCTTTTCAACTCTAATGAGGCAGGAAATTACTTTTTAACTCAAGCAATGACCTGTTCAGACTTTGCAAAAATTCCTGCCACCAGCAAATATATTGTTTATCTAATTTCCATTTTATGTGTGACTAAATTTGCAAGCCAATAGATTTCCATGGTTTGGTTGCAAATAATCCAGACACATATGAAAATGTTAACCTTTATTGATTTATTTATCTTCTATCATCAGCCGTTTCTCATATACTAGCTCAAAATGATTTATTGCAAGAAATTGAGATAATGCAGTCAACACTAGCACATAATCACACACATACACGCGCATATATAGAAAAATTCGAATTATGCCTCTGATTTCCAGAATAACTATATAACTATACCTCCTTGAATGTAACTTTCCTGAGAATGTAGAATTGTTGATGTCCTATCCTAATATATTTAGGTACATGCTTCCTTAACAACTTCTGGACCGTTTGACTCAGCTTCCCACATGTGTTTTAATCAGTTTCTCAAGACTAAGTCTCCTAATTGTGGTACCAGTTTTTAAATCTCACTGCAACAAAAAGTCATGTCATGTTTGCTGGGGCCCAGGAATATTACCTCCCCCCTTCCATCACCCTTTGTTATCTATCTTTTCCCTGAAAAGAAGACTCTGGTCTGGTGGCTGCAATGTGAGGTGTATGCTCTCTAAGGTGCCCAGCCCTCTTTCTCACTTAATGATGTCATGAGAACCATGCAGGGACGTATTAGCCGCGAGTCAAACAAGGCATTTTCCTTGGGCGGCATTTTTCAGGGGGCAGCAAAAAACGGCGCTGGGCGGGCGGCTGGCGAGGGAGCTCTTCCTCTGAGCGATCTGCTCAGCTCCCTCGCGCGCCGCAGAGTGAGGCTGGGAGCCGGGTCGATGATGTCATATTCCGGCTCCCAGCCTCACTATGCGGCGCGCGAGGGAGCTGAGCAGATTGCTCAGAGGAAGAGCTCCCTCGCCAGCCGCCCGCACAGCAGCCAGCGCCGCCCAGCCGGACTGGAAGCCACTGGACCACCAGGGAGAGAGAGACCCCCCCCCCCCAGCATTCCCAAAGGTAAGGAGGTTGGGGGGGTTTAAATTTAAAAAAAAGTTAATGTGAGTGATTGTGTGTGTGTGTGTGTGTGTGTGTGTGTGTGTGTTTGTGTCTGACTGTGTGTGTTTGTGTCTGACTGTGTGTGTGTTTTTGTCTGACTGTGTGTGTTTGTGTCTGTGACTGTGTGCAAAGCTTGTGACTGTGTGTGTGTGTGTGTTTGTGTCTGACCGTGTGTGCGGGTGTTTGTGTCTGACCGTGTGTTTGTGTCTGACTGTGTGTGTTTGTGGCCCTGACTGTGCGTGTGTTTAGACTGTGTGTGTGTGTTTGTGTCTGACTGTGTTTGTGTGTATGTGTTCACCGTGTTTGTGTCTGACTGTGTTTGTGTCTGACTGTGTGTGTGTGTGTGTATGTGTGTTTGTGTCTGACTGTGTGTGTGTGTGTTTGTGTCTGACTGTGTTTGTGTGTATGTGTCTGACTGTGTGTGTGTGTGTGTGTGTGTATGTGTCTGACTGCGTGTGTGTGTGCGTGCTGTGTCTGACTGTGTGTGTGTGTCTGACTGTGTGTGTTTGTAAATTGATTGTGTGTGTGTGTGTGTGTGTGTGTGTTTGCGTCTGACTGTGGTTGTGTATGTGCCCGACCGTGTGTGTGTATGTGTCTGACTGTGTGTGTGTGTGTGTGTATGTGTCTGACTGTGTGTGTGTGTGTGTGTGTGTGTATGTGTGACTGTGTGCGTGTAAAAGTGTGTGTGTGTATGGGTTCGACTGTGTGCGTGTGTATGTGTCTGACTGTGTGTGTGTGTGTGTGTTTGTGTCTGACTGTGTGTGTGTGGGGCGGGGGGAGGGTTGGGTGGGGATGGCGCGGGGGAGGGGGGCACCTGAGTTTTGTCCTGCCTAGGGCAGCACAAAACCAGGATACACCACTGGAACCATGGCATAACTACCATCAGTCTGTATCAGTATCATTCTGCTACAGTGTAGGTATTAAGTGTGCACAGAGGAAATGCACTAACCTTATACTGCCCCTCAGTGGACACAAGCGGAACAATGGGATTTCAATCACTTTGAGTATTTTAATGTTTCTCACATGTGAAAATACAATTTAAAAAAACACTGCTGGGATCACTGAGGGGACAGGGTCCAGGTAAGTTGCCCCTGTTACCCCTTTGAAAGAGAGGCCTAGTCCATTCTATGCATCAAGTTAGATATTTCTAAATGTTTCACGAAATGGTGTGACAGAAAGCTCATCTGTGATATAAGGTAAGTCACTATATCTACCTATATGTAGATAGTGGAAGTGCACTCAACCCTTCGTCCTGGAATCCTGGGTGCTATACTGGATGAGTCCCAATACCAGAAAGGAATTTGAATTAAAAAAAAAATCCAGGCACTCCAACAAATCCCCAAAATAGGCAGTTTTATTGGACCCAAGAACCAGCTAGCAACGTTTCAACCCCTTAGGGCCCTTATCAAGCTTGATAAGGGCCGAAAGGGATCGAAACGTTGCTTGCTGGTTCTTGGGTCCAATAAAACTGCCTATTTTTGGAATTCGTTGGAGTGCCTGGATTTTTTTCTATATTTTTTCTATATTCAAATACTACATCTACCTATTTGAAGACCTATGTACTCCAAGTATGTATCTATATATTAAAGAAAACATAGAAATAGCAAAGGTGAAAAGGAATATAAACAGGTTGCTAAAACCACAGAGAGTCCAAAAACCTTGGATTTTGGCAATATGTCAGATAACAACACTGAAAACCTTGTTTTTGCTGTTGCCAAAAAAACGTATTTTGCATTTTGCCTAAAAAAAAATTATATTCTGGGTATGGTAGTAATGTCCTCTGAATAATGTGATTTGAAAGAAAGAAAGAAAGACAGACAGACAGATAGATAGATAGATAGATAGATATCCTCACTTTACATTGATTCCAGTGAGTATATATCCTGATAGCACATCATGAGTATTTTCTTGAAATATTTACTCAGCATGCTGGTCTATACACACTATAAATTTGAAATGGGTGCATAGGATAAATAAATGTAACCACTTGGAGATTCATAAATGTAAGTAGAGCTTGTTGACCCAATCCTCGGGCACAGACATCCCTTTTGACCTTATGGGTCTCTTCAGCGTGGTGCTGATTTTTCAATTAGCGGTGGGAATCTTATGCATAGCGTGGAGTTGGTCATTAATTAAATGTTGGTGAAAAAAAGACTGACAGAAAGCTCAACACTGATTTAAAAACATCTCAAACTCGTGCATATAATAGACAGCTTCAAAAATGTTCTACACACTGCAGCATTCTTTAGATTTTCCTAGTTGATATTGTTCAATAAGTGTGTGTTTGTTTGTTTGCTAATTTATTTTGACAAATTATCCTCTTTTTCCACAAAGTGGAGCAAAGTCTGTGAAAAATATTGTGAGGACTCCAAAGAATCCCATTTTAATTATGAGCTACACAAGGCTACTCTTTTCCTTCCAGCCTACATGCGTCCGGTTGGGGGTTAATAATGAAAGAGTGGCATATGTAGTTAACTTGATTACTCATGCCCTGATCCCCACTCTAATAAAGAAGATAATGTCTAGCACTTCTTGTCATTGAAATAGATATCCCTTTGTTTGCATTCCACCAACAGCAACGTTTCGACAAAGTGTATTTTTCAAGAAAATGCGCTATAAGTGCTGTGAGCTAAGAATGAGCCAATGGATCTCCAATCCCCAGTCCGTATTAGTGTCCACAAGTTCCATTTTCCCCAAGAACAATGCCAGGAGGTGCTTCATTCACCTTCACTCTTGGTGGCCATGCTTCCCCACCCACTGATATTGACTGCAGAAAGTGGGTGATACGTGCTTATTTACAAAAACAAGTCTTACACTCAAACTCCCACTACTCTTGGGCGGCAGCAACGACCATAGTACACATCAGCCAGTTTGAGCGCAGGACTTGTTTTTGTGTATTTGTATTCACTTTTGTATCATACAGCTATGTTACAATGCTGCCCACCACCCAATGTGTCCCCTATTAAGGGTTGATAAGTATGTAGGGGTTTATAAAAATACCCCTTTCTGTCTCATTAGAGATATCTTTGCCAGAAGCTCAAGGAAGCAAGGTGAATAGTCAGTGTAGGACCCACCTAAGAGGTCTGCCTTGACGTGGCAGGTGGGCATCCCTTCTCATGGCCATTGGCGTAACTAAATAACCTCCATTTGTTTAAATATGCATAGGAATTTGGGAAGAGTGCAGGTAACTTTTTTCCTTTGGTTTTTATGACACGTACTTATTTCTATAGAAGATAACGACCTAGAGTTTCACTTGTTGGAGCTGTATTAATGTGAGTAGTAAATTAATGTTTTTATATTTTGCAGCGAGCTGTGGCAGGGTAGAGGTTTACAGTTTTTTTAAAGTTTTTTTTAAGTTTTTTAAGGCCATGCCATCATAGATTTTCATCCACAGAATATATATGCCTTGTATGTGACAATACAAGCATACGTGTACTCGCTAAATCAATAGCTTAGAAAGAGGAGTGCCATTATGGGCATATGCCTGTGCTTTTTAAAACAAATATCTAAAAGACCTGGGCAGGGGTGCCCCCTACAGGCAGGTTTCTTAACTACACAGTTCACTTGTCCCAAAAACCCACTTTCTAATTTCTAGAAAGTCAGAAAAGTATCTTAAATTATATAATTGTAAAATTATGTTACCAATTATACTACCTTTTCTAAAACCCTCTATAAAAGTCCATGTCTGTAACAGCCTTTATGTTAAAGTTTAGAAACATTCAAGAGCTGCAATTAGATTTATTGGAGTATTCAGCAGAATCAAATATTGTCCCATGTGTCTCATTCCACCATCCCCCACATGTGTCTCATTCACCTAGCCCCTCGTGCATCTCATTCTGTGGTGGAATCTCGGTAAAAATAAATTTAGTAGGCCGAGATTACCACGTGGCATGTGTACGTGCATATGCTGACGTATCGATCAGTTGGTTGCACGAGGCAAGATACGATCAGTAGTGTACGGAGCATGTGCAAGAATACAGGATGTAGTATTCCCCTCCTCCATTGTGCTGGACAAGCCATGCGGTCAAGCAGGAAGTTAATTCTTATTTGTAATGATTGGTCAAGAGAATGTGCGGGTGGAGCTTAATATGGGAGGAGTTATGTGCCTATATAGGGAGCCTGCACTATTGTTCAGGGCTCAGAACTTGCTGTATTTTTGGTGACATTAGTCCCTCTGAGTCCCGATCGGTGATCCAATAAAGAATCTCTTCCTTCCTGAAGAAACCTGTGTCCATCCCTCTGTGCTTTGCTTCCGTCAGTTTCTCCGGTATCATTTGGTGCATTGGCCGGGAAGCTCATCGTTCAACGGTAGCTGAGAGGCAGAGGCGTGAGACGGTCTATCTTTGCCCACGTTCTCTACGGCTGCACCCCTGAACTTCTGCGTGGACCTCCCTTCGTCTCGGCGCCACTGGTCTGTTGTCCAGGAGATCATCGGCCTCTACGTAAGAAGTGCTGGGGTGTCCCCGTCGATGAGTGTGAACTCAGGTTCAGGAACGAGGAGGTAAGACAACTGCTGTTTTAGACGGCAGACCCACTAGGGGTATACCGATTGTGCGGTAGGCCCAAAAGGGGTTTAAATCTGTGTATGGAATCTGCCCCCTCTGTCGGAGGGAAGGAGCGAAGGCGCACCGCTCGATCGAACGCTCTTTAGTAAGACCGTTTGATCTGGTTAGTCAGGCGGGGTCCTGTGTAAATAGCCCTAGCCGGACACCGGTGTCTTGTCTAGACTAGCGTTCTAGGGTGTATATTACGTTCGCTAGGTCGGAGGGACCGGGAGACTAAGCGGCGCCTGTGTAAATTCGGTTCGCTAGCTCTCAACCTATCTTGGCTAAGTGGGAAGGCGTGTAAATTTGGAACCCACTAGACTTTTGATAGAGTAAATAGACTAGAAGGGCAACTTTGTAAATTTCGCCCTCTAGTTCGCTATATGTGGTGTTTGGGCAGTGTGGCTAACCAAAACGGGTGTATATAGTTTTAGGTAGTCCATTCAAGGTACTGGCCAATAGTTTAGTTGGGATTGTAAATGTGTTAAAGATTGTTAGTAAAGTGTATATCTTTCAGATAGCGCGAGCTCAGCCGTCTAGCGAGAGTGTTAATAGTGTGTTGCTGTATCATAGTGCACGGTACCATAACCCTGTATATTTACTGACACTGTATATAAGTACTAATCATTGTCGTCTATTGCATGTTTAACACCGTAACCACTAATAATTGTATTGTGACCTTAAATTGTGCTTTGACCTATGCTAACCGTACTGTAACCGATACTAGTAAAAGACGATGTTACTGGGGTGTGTTATAGACGGGTAATTCATATATAGAGAATTATAGCGTGGGTGACTGTATAGTTTCGCCAAAGGGCATAATATTGATTATTTAGTGACTGGTGTAACAGCTGTGTGTGTACGGGAATTCCCTGAGTGATTATTGTGTTATTGTGTACGTTTCACTCGGTAACTGTACCACGTGGTGCTGTTGCCAGAGGAAACGGGTGTGACTGTTGAATAAGAACGCGTGCATAGTATTCGTTGTCAACGACGTTCCATTGATAAGTATGGGCGCGTCAGAGTCAACGATTTCGGATCCCTTAGGTTGTATGGTAAAGAATTTTAAAAAGGGATTCAAAACATGTGATTTTGGGGTTAAAATGTCTCCTGTACGTTTGGTCACTTTGTGCACTAGGGAGTGGCCTATTTTGGTTGCGGCATGGCCGCCGCGTGGCAGTTTGGATCCAACCCTGGTACAGCGTGTACACGTGGCTGTGTCAGGTAGGCCTGAACTTTACGGACAGTTTCCATACATTGATTGTTGGGGGCAGGCCGTAAACGACTCGCCAAAATGGATCCGGATATGCCACGAGGAGCAATGTCGCCTCATGGTGGCCAGGACTTGTTTGTCCACTAGGACTGGTGTTAGGCCCATTTTGGACACGCCCCCTGAGTCCGAGATCCCTTTGCCGCCCCCTTACTTTCCTTTAAGAGGAAGTGACGCGAATGCAGGAAGCTCTGCACCCCTTCCCCTATTGCCCCCATCCACTTCCGCTTCCTCCTCCAGTACAGAATCCACCCCCCCTCGTATTAAAACTCCCCTTCCGGAACCAGGACCAACCCCCATTAGATCTGAATATCCTGATTTGGCGCCACTTCAAACTTCCGGTCAAGCTTCTTCTAGCTCGGCTCGGAGTATACTATTCACTAACTTTTCCCAAAATCAAGTTCCCACATCCTCATGCCCTATTACCTCTCGACCGGAACCTTTAACTGACGCCCCTCCACGTAGCCCCATACTAACCCGACAACTGACCGGTACCCAACAATTAAAACATTATCAGATGCCTCTTCGTCTGAATCCTGGGTCAGCCTATATCGATGCCGCAGGTCAAATGGCACATGCTGACCCAGTCTTCGTATATGTCCCGTTCACGACTACCGATCTCTTGAATTGGAAGACCCACAATTCCTCGTACACTGAGAAACCACAAGCTATGACCGATCTGTTCACCTCGATAGTTCAGACACATAACCCGACATGGGCTGATTGCCAGCAGTTATTAATGACATTGTTCAATAATGAGGAAAGGACAAGGATTAACCAAGCGGCCATTAAGGCGCTAGAGGAGAGAGCCCGTGCTTTAAATCAAGCCAATCCGGCAGCATGGGCCGCAACACATTACCCTAACACCGATCCTGACTGGAATGTAAATGGCGCAGATATGGCTCAACTTAAAGCCTATAGAGATGCTATAATTGCTGGCATGAAAGCCGGAGGGAAGAAAGCTATTAACATGTCGAAGACAGTTGAGGTGATTCAGAAAAGTGATGAAGCGCCCAGTGTCTTTTATGACCGATTATTGGAGGCATACCGCTTGTATACCCCCTTTAATCCGGAAGACGCTGATAATTCCCGAATGGTAAACTCCGCCTTTGTCAGCCAAGCTTACGGAGATATTAAGCGCAAGCTACAGAAATTAGAAGGGTTTGCAGGTATGTCTATCACCCAACTAATGGAGGTAGCGAACAAAGTATATATGAATAGGGAAACAGAAAGTAAGAAAGAGGAAGAGCGCAAGATGCGTAGAAAGGCAGATATGCTAGCGGTAGCGATCGCAGGCGTAGATAGACGGGGCCCAGATAGAGGCGATGGTAGATGGAATAGGGAGCCTTTGAGTAGGAATCAGTGCGCGTACTGTAAGGAAGAAGGGCATTGGAGGAACGAGTGTCCGCAAAGAGAGCAGTATGAGAGAGACTTACCCAGGGCAGGTTACGGAAACTTTAGAGGCAGAGCGAGAGGTAGAGGAGGCCCCGGAGGGAGTAATGGTAATAGAGGGAGTAATGGGAACAGTGGAAGTGTAAGGGAAGATAGGTACTATCCAGCAGCGCAAAGGTCCCGCGATAGAGAAGGTAGGGACTTTGTGGGATTGGCTGACACGGTCATGGAGGACTATTGATACCGACCGGGCTCCATCCCCCTTGGTCGAGCGGAGCCTATGGTCGATGTATCAATAGGGGGAAAAAGGAGTGCGCTTATGATCGACACTGGTGCTGAACATTCGGTGGTGACTAATCAAGTTGCTCCTCCATCTGGAAGAACTATTACTGTAATAGGAGCAACTGGAAGAAGTGCTGAAAAACCGGTTCTTAAAAGTCGACTCTGTACATTGGGAGGCCACGTAGTAAAACATCAATTCCTTTATATGCCTGAGTGTCCAGTCCAATTGCTGGGACGTGATATGCTATCCAAATTACAAGCGCAGATTACGTTCCTACCAAATGGAACAACATCCTTAAAGTTTAATGGACCCTCAGGTATTATGACATTGTCCGTACCAAAGGAAGAAGAGTGGCGACTTTATACAGTGTTGACTAGCCAAAACCCGAGGAGTGATGAATCCTTATTTAACATACCAGGAGTTTGGGCAGAGAACAACCCACCAGGACTGGCCCGCAATATTCCACCTATTAAAATCGAACTAAAACTTGGGGTTTATCCAGTAAGCCTGAGACAATATCATATTCCGCAGAAGGCTAAGAAGAACATCCAATCTTATCTGGATAAGTTCATACGGTATGGTATCCTAAAATTCTGTACTTCCCCCTGGAACA